AATAATGCCAATGTAAATTTCTTCCTCATTTATAAGAATATAGGTAAAGCTGAGAATTCCATTTTAAACTTGCTCATATGCACTTTTTAAAGATTATATTTTTCATGTTCATGTAAGTGCTAATAGTACTTATATTTAAATAAACTATATTGATGCACCTTTGTAGAGGAAAGCTATTTTAGTCAAGTTGCAGGACATCATCCCTGCAGGAACAAATGTTTCACACGCACAGAACAGTGTGGGGCCTGGGGGCACCCTCTGCAAAGAACATGTCAGGGATGTTGAACATTTGAAGTTCTCTCTGATATCTCACTAGCTTCACAATGGATGGCAGTGAGATTTGAATTAGAGGTTTTTGACTAGGGCAGGACGAAGGTTGGGAAAGTAGATTGGAAAGTGGTAGAAAATAAACCCACAATTTGACTTCATCATTACTGATAGTGATTTTTACTATTTCTCTGCTTATTTCAGAAATGATCTGCTGATAAGTCAATAATGTGGAAATTCCCCCCTCTATACCAGGGGTGTCTAAGGGTCCCTGGCTTGTTAGGAACCCGGCCATGAGGGGGCTAGCTTGAGCTCTGCCTCCTGTCCCTCCCCCACCTGAACTCCTCCTTCTACCCCTCCACCCACGCCCCTGCCCCATCATCTGTGGTAAAATTGGTCCCTGGTGCCAGTAAGTTTGGGGAGCAATGCTCTGTAATACAAATTTTTGTCTATTTTTTATTAGGTAAAATCCAAATAGTGAATGCGAGCACACACCTAGAACAGTTGTTGGCACCTAGTAGGCAACAACAATCAATAGCTTCTAACCCAGGTCACAATAATAATAGCCAATACTTCAGTGTCAATTGCTATGTGCTCAGTAAGCATTGTACTAATTTTCTTCTATTCATGAAGTGATTTAGTTTGCACAACATTATGAGCTAGCTACTGCTGTTATAATATTTAGATGAGAAACTGAGGCACAGGACCATAACATGCCAGAGATTATATATCTCACTAGAGGTAAAAATGGAATTTTAGCCCAGGCAATCTGACTGCAGAGTCTATGCAGTATCTGCAAGAGCCACTGCCTCCCTGAAAGCAAAGCTCTAGTATGTGAGAGGTGGCCATTTATTTACATCTTCCTTTAGGAGAATCTGAGAAATTGATCAGAGTGGGAAATGAAGTTGAGGAGCATTTAGGTGGTTATGTAGAGGAGTTGAAGGCAGTTGAAGAACAAGAAGCAATGTTGTTTTGAATAATTACTTTCCTTACTCAGACACATAAGGTCTTGCAGAAAAGCCTCCTGCATTAGACTAAGTGAAAGATGTGTTTGTCATGATTGCCAAGTGGGCTTAAGTGACAGAATGAATGACCTCACTGAAGCCAGGATGCACAGACAACCAGGGGAATTTTAGGGTAATTGAACAATATTTGCAGTGGTGGCAGCACATGGTTCTTTCTTAACAGCAGGAAGCAGTAACAGCGCTTTTTGAGGCTCTGTTCTTAGCACCTAAAACTTTCAAAGGATAATTAACTCCCCTGCATACTGGAGGTTCTTCTAGATACACTTCTGATACATTAAGGGAAAAGAAAGAAAATAACCATTTTCAGGTTGAGCAGCCTGATACATGGCAAATTGCAGCCCAATAGGAAATTAAACCACATATCTTAAGGACACATTTGCAAGAAACCTATTATTTTTCCCTTATCTTTGTGCATACATTGTAATATGCTTTGTATATTTTATTATTTATAATGCCTCAAAGTGGGGGGTCAGAATTAGAATCATGGTACACGGGTACCAGAAGAGATCCATTGCAGCTAAACTAACCCTTTCATTTTATATGAATGATAATTGCCATGCAAACCTATGATGCATAACATCTGAATGAATTAGCAAGTAAATGCTCTGTACTTTCAAACTTCCTATTGATTTTAATGCTTGCTCAAGCCTTCAATCTAGTGTGAATAATTCAAACCCTTTGACTTAAATGGAAATGCTCAAGGAGCTTTGTGGTTCTCTAATCCATATATGGCTTTCACTGAATACTGACCAGAGGTAACAAGCCAATCTATATCAATGAAAGGGATCTGGTGTTTTGGCTTATCAGCAGGATCACCCCCATCCATCATAGGGGGAAAAAAACCTGTTGGCATTTGCTATTTTCAACAATGAAACCAAACCACTTTGCATGAAGAACATTATTTATGAAAGCTATAGAAATTTTTCAAATGTGTTATTAAATTAATTCAGATTGCATACCAGCTGTGCGATTTATGGTCCATCCTCAATATGGAATATTATTCAGTCACTAAAAAGAATGAATGAGCTATACCTGTGAGCTTCCAAGTGAGAAAAGCAGATAACAGATGTTTTTATAATGTGATCTCATATTAATGATTTGAATATGATGATATGAACAGGAAGAAAAATGTGGAAGAATATATACCATGTAGTTAAAACAAATTGCCTGCTTGATGAGGTGGGTAGGAGTTGAGGGACAGAAATAAATGTGCAGGAAAAGTGCAGCCAAGCAAAAAGAAAAGAAGAAAAAAAACTTCAGCATAAAGCATATGAAATGTACTTATTTCAAATTGCATATGTCATGCTTCCTTTATCCCCAACAGACATAATTGCAAATGGGAATATTATCCTTATGCTAAATGAGTTTATAGCCAGGGAACAGTGGAACATGCACTGAACTTAGAAGCAGAAAACCTGGGTAGGAATCTGGTCACTTTACCTTCCTATCTGAGAGTCTAAACAGGTTTCTCAGAGTCACATGGGGGAGCAGAAAAGCTGGGGCTTCCAGTCTGAGTACTAACTTTGCAATTTCCTAGCTGTGTGACACTGAGCACTTTTCACACGAAGAATGAAGATAGAATTGCACATGCTACTGCGAACATTAAATGAGATCTGTGTTAACTATCAGGAAGACCCCTTTTTAAAATGCCATCTCTAAGTTATTTTTCTCATATCTGTAATCTAAAATCTACAAGTTTTAAGTCTGAACACTGCATGGTGACTTCATAATTGTTGTTATTTTGTAAGTGCTATACTTACAGTGACTGGGGAACTTAATAAACATCAAATTGATCAGAGAGGCTTCAGAGACAAAGGTCTTGAATGACAGGTAGAATTTACATGGGGGAAGACATTCTAGGTAGAAGAAAATCTGAACAATGGATACTCTTTCTGGATCCATACTTTATCCATAATTCATGATTTCCTCGAGATTTCATGTTGGAGAAATTAGAGAATAATATTGATAATTAGAAAAGGCTCATATTTTGTAAGGCATTGAAGCTGGGTACAGTGAGTTAGATTGACTATATAGAAAATTAAGAATGCAGAGTTATTGTTTAATTTTGGGGAGTTAGCATTAAATTAAAAGAGATTGAAGCAATATCATCAATTTAGTATTTTTGTTGATTTTGTCTAGCATGCACATTAGACTTTCTTATACTTTTTCTAATTATTATATTCTATGTAAAAATTTTTTACTAACCAGAGTGTAGTCAGTCAGCCAAGAGATGTTTTTATTGGGAAATTATATTGTCTTTAGTTAATAACAAGTTTCATATAGTCAGAGAATTAATTTTATGCTCTTTGGTGTCCATTTATGTCATCATTTGAGGCCAACTTTAATATATTGAGTTCTTTGATTTAACCTCTTGAGATCCGATAGCCCTCCATGCACCCCATTTGTTCATGAAGAAGAGTATGTAAAGATATATTTACCAATGAATTTGTGATGTATTCTATGAACTGAGGAGACCGAGTCTCGAATCCTGATATTTACTCTTCTCACTCTCAAATGAGGAAGTGGTCCATGAGGAATAAGAGCCAAAGAGATAATGAGACAGTACTTTATTGAGAGTTTGGCAAGCTCCTTACAAATCCCTAAAGAAGTTCTTTCCTGGAAAACTGAGTTGAAGCTGTAGTACTTGTTCAAGGTAGCTTAATTCTTCTGCCTGCTCCACTTCACCCTTTTGAGATTGCTGGGCCATCTCTTTCCACCTAACTGCATGGCAGTTAGAGGCAAGAACAGAAGGCTGTACTTGAGAAAGTCGGTTCACCAAATGGACTCCCATTATGAAATATGTAAAGTAAAAGAGCAAAATACAGACTGTTCAGAGGGTTCATACCCTCTTATCACATCAGTCATGTGGTCACCAGGCAGCAGAAGGCAGTGATACTGTGCCTGAGAAGGTGCCTGCCTTTAAGGAAGAACAAAACTTGGTAAAGGGAATGTCCTGAGCTCAGGCTAAATGATTGCAATACAACATGATAAATGTTAAAATAGGTAAGCTCTAGATGGACCTATGACACAAAGGCAGAAGAGATTAATTCTTTGTGAGAATCAAGGAAGGTTTTGTAAAGGCACATTATGAATGAGTAGATGTTTGTCAGATAACAACAAGTAAAAAATTCCAAAAATAAGGAAATAGGTAAACCATTGTAAGTCTGGGAAAAAAGAAACAGTTTGGTATGATTGAAGAAATTTGATAGGGAAAAGTGAAAACCAGGAGGCAAGCTGACATGAGAAGGACTGAAATCTGCTATGGAAAATAGGCTTTATCTTCTGACAGCCTACCTGTTCTGCTTCCCTCTATTACCTGCAAGGAATTCTGCGATTACATTGGGAATCAGATAACCCACGATAACCTTCCCCTGTTAAGATGAGCTGATTAGCAATCTTAATTTCTCCTCTCAGTGCAACCTAAAATAGTCATATGTTGTAAAGATTAGGGTGTGGGCATTTTGGAGGGACATTATTCTGCCTACCACACTGAATTTTGTATACAGTGATTAAACAGATTACTTCCCAATATGACATTCCTATAACACTGCCCTATAATGACAATGACAATAGTAGGTCATAGGTTTACTTTATAAGGTAAAAAATACAGTAAAAAGTTATTATCATAAATTCTCTGAAAATGTATAAGCCATACTGGCAGGTGGGACAGTTTTCTTGTGAGAACAACTCAGCAAAGCAGTAGCAGGATTCATTTAGATAACATTTTATTTGTTAAAGAAAGATTTGACAGACTGTATTTCAATAGCAGGAGAAATTAAAATCACGACATTTAGTGTATTGGCATACTTTTATAGGTGGGTACAGAACAATGACATATTTTTGAAGTCTAGTCACTGCTTCTTCATTTTAATGAGACGATCTGAAGATAGATAGAAGCCCCACATTTAAGCAGATATGCTTTAATGGATCACGGGAAACTGTCAGAAAATAGATCCACTGTGAGAATCTCTACAGTGCTTAGTGATTTCTTTGTTATAAATAACACTTTTTAAGTGTGTACTTTTCTGAACAGAAAATATAGCAATTCACTCTATGAATACTTCCATATTTACAATGCCCTTTTAAAAATAGTAAGTTAAAAGGGAACATTATAATGTGAACTACAAATTTCTAAAATTACAAAAATAAAAAACTCATACTAGTATGATGAGACACGATATTTTTCACTACACCGAAAGGCTATAGAGTAGAATACTTTGGCTCTATTTACAGGCATGAACAACATTTATAGACATGAACACTATTACATTTTGACACATTTATGCATTACTGATTAGGCAATTGCAGTCACAATCTGTGAAATAAGTATAGCAATAGCATATACCTCATTTCAATGTTAACCTAAGAACAGAGAAGAAACATTTGTTTTTTCTTTTGTGAAGTTGTGTGATTTTTAGAATATCAGAAAAGAAAATGGATGTAACACATATAGGTCCAGGTTATTTTAGTAGAAATTTACGTTCAGAACCATTCACAAAATGGTAAGATGTGTTCATTCAATTCTTTATTTTATCCCTATAATTTTTCATCTAGTTTGCAAAAAATACAGGGTTACTCAAAATATGGTCTATTGTTATAACAGCCATTCCCTTTCTACTGTTTTATATGCTGCTCCTTCATTCTCTTATGTTCCACTTTCTGTAACGGAGCTCATTACCAAGGTGATGGGGGACTAGTTTCAAAGGCAACATGAGTCACACGATATCAAGCCAGTGGTTTCCTCGAGGACATTCATCTATTTTTGTGCTAGAAAGAAAATCTTTCCTTGGGTGCAGTGATATCACTCCTGAAAAACCAATTACTTTTAAAATGTCTGCAATACTATTTTTGACATAACTAAGTCATAGAGGGAAGCATACCATAGCTATACAGTACATACTTTTACCTTGTATTAGATAAAGTTCCTACACTGTAAACAGAAAAACTGATTTAAAATATGATTATCTAGTAATAATAACTGGATAATTCGAGTAATTTTTATACACTGGCCATCTACCACCCGGCATTTATATTTTTGTGCGGTAGTAATTATCCAGGTTCCCTCTGTTTACCGTAAACACCCAAAACAGCAAGGGACATTTTTGAACATTCTGTAATATTCTTCTTGGATCTAAAACAAAAAGAAAAGGGAAGAGAGAAATATTAAATATAATTGCAGCAATAATATCAAGTTCTTTTCAAATCACATTAAATTGCTATATTTGTTTTTTTAACTACTAAGGCCTCTGATTTCGAGAAAAGGCTCAAGTGAATATAAGCTATATTTATATTCCTAATAACAAGTTTTTTAAAAGCATATTTTCCTAAGAACAGCTAGGTGTTCTGATTATGTTGATACTAAAAATGTACTGCATTTAGGCAATAAAGATTCAAGTCATGAATCTATGAGAATTTTTATCAATTTGGTAACTGATGCTACATGAAGATACTATAGAGTTGACCGAAATAATGAATTGCTTACCTTTCTGGACAAAACACACAGGAATAAGAAAATGAACATCCCCTGGAAGGCATTGCTGATGGTGAAGAGGTAAGCTGTCACAACCGAGGCGCGCACAACATGGAGAACCCCAAAGATCCAGGTGGTGCCCAGGAGGAACAGAAGAGCCAGGGCTCCTCTGGCGCAAGACCTAGAACACATTTGAAATATTCCAGGCAAGAACGTTACACATACTCAGCACATCCCCACATTTCTCAGATTATGTGGGAAATGAGTTTTGGGTATAACCAAGAAATCTTCTGCAAAGACCAACAACAACTTTGAAACTGACGAACTCTGCACAGTCAGGTGGGACAGCCCTTAAGGTTGGCTGCTGCACTGTGGCAGAGATGGGTTTCCAAAATCAAGGCAGCACTATTCAAATGTACTATTTTTCAAGGAATTTTCTTAATCTTAACAAAGTTTTTATCTGATGTACTGCAGTGTATATGCTTTGATTTAAAATCTAATGTTGCAGTAATTCCCAAAGGTAAGACATATATCTGTTAGGAAATATTTTCTTTAAGAAACCTTGAGAAGTATAACATGTGAACTGTGGTCAGCATGTACGTCTGACATCAAAGAAAACTTTGTTTTTTTGTTTGTTTTTTTTTCAGGTTTAGTAGAGAAGAAAGAGTGGGATATAAAACTAGATTTTTTTTTGCTTGTGCAATTCTGTTACCTCCCAATAAATTCATGTCAAAATACTGATTTCTTAAAAATTAAAAAATAATACATGCACATACTCTTACCTATTTTCAATTTATTTTGTGTGACTTTGGTAAAGCTATTCAGTTCTGCTCCCTGAGGATACCACCTTAAGGATGAGGCAACTACTGATTGTTTTTTTCATTCATTTTTAGTGTAAACATTCTTTAATGCAGAAGATGGTTTAGCCCTGTACTTCAGAAAATGAGTCATTCGTAACTTTATTAAAACCGGCACACTGCATGAAACTATGAATGGTGAGAAGTAAAAGAAAGTAATTAAGCAAACATTTGCTAAATTCTAACTATAGACCTTGTGCAAGGTATTGAAACTACCAGAGTGCTCCCAAGTAACCCAGCATCAGTGTGTCTAATGCTCCTTATAGTACTTTCAGTTTTTCCTAAACAAACTGTTTTCAAGGTCTCAGTAAATTTGTTCTAAAGACAGGGCATTAAAGGAAAAATCATGGTAGCAAGCAAACTAAGAAAGAAACGTAGTTATGAAACTTTGAGAAATGTTTTGCAAAAGAAAATCACTAAAGCCCACTTTTGCTTAAAATGGTCATCATTTCTTCTTTCAAAGAAGACTATGCTTAAAAAGATTGTTTTACTCACCATTTGATCTCTGGTGATTGTAGGCTTATTAAATACACTAAATAGCATTTAACAATGACTATTTTAATAATGCAAGAATAAAATATAAAAATCATTAAAATTGTCTTTTTAAAACTTACTGATACTTTAAGTTACTAAAGTTTTTAATTTCTAAAGAAAGGAGACATAAGAAACATTTACCTTATGTTTTCATAGCAACTAACTTCTGGCTTCAACCCTGCAGTGTGACGAAAAACTTTGTATATGATAAATCCGAAAGCCAAGAGATTAACCTGGGAAAATAAACTCATTTCAAACAAGAGATAGTTTTTATAGTAGATGATATACATATAAAAGAAATAAACAAATAGTAAAGATTTCAAATTAACAGAAACAAGAAAATGATGGCATTTTTATGTATATTTCAAAGCACAAACACTCTGGTACAGTTAGGAAAACAAATCTGTGGTTTATCTTTACAATGTTACTCAATGTTTTGGGTACAACTGGTAATTAATTCAATTTGGCAGATTGTATTAAGCAACCTCTTTAAGAAAATTCTTCAGATTTAATGATCACAACAATAGATTGATATCACCTGCTGCCAATACTATGATCAATATACATATTAAAATAAATTTTGGTTTTAAAATTTTACAAATACTTGAGAAATCAAATTTTTGTTCACTAAATGTGTTTCATTTCTTAAAGGAAAAGTGTTAGTGATAATTCTGTCATTCCTTTAAAAATTTAAACTGGAATGGAAAATTTAAAAAGAAAAAACTCAAAACACCCTCAATTTCTATTGCTAGAAAAATTTTGAGTGTACTTTCTTTTATATAGTTCATCTAGCTATCTCTCCTAATATTTATGCTGAGATTTCTTTTTCCTAGATTTAACTATAGAAACTTTAAAATATTTTTTATTTAAAAATTATTTTACTGTTGTTCAATTACAGTTGTCTGCATTTATCCCCCACCACTCCCCTCTCACCGCAGCCATCCCCTCCTCCCTCTCCTGATTCCAACCCCCCTTGGTTTTGTCCATGTGTCCTTTATAGTTGTTCCTGAAAACCTGTCCCCCTTTTCCCCCATTATTCTTTCCCATTTCCCCTCTGGTTACTGTCAGATTGTTCTTAATTTCAGTGTCTCTGGTTATATTTTGCTAAGTGAAATAAGTCAGGTGGTAAGGGACAAATACCATGTGATCTCACCTTTAACTGGAACCTAATCAACATAACAAACAAGCAAGTAAAATATAGCCAGAAACTTTAAAATATGAATCAATTAAATAAATGTTTATTTGAAAGAATATGTACACTTTATTGATAAATATTTATCATTATAATATCTATATTTTCTAATATGGGCTAAAAAGGATACACAGAAGTTGCACTTTTTTTAAATCAGCTGAGAATATGCTTACTGACTTTAGAGAGAGGAGACTGGAGTGAGAGAAACACTGACCTCAGAGAGAAGCATCGATCAGCTGACAGAGAAACATTGACCAGCTGCCTCTCTTATAATGCCCTGACTGAACCCACAACCTAAGTATGTGCCCTGACTAGGAATCAAACCTGCAACCTTTCGGCTTATGGGACTATGCTCCAACCAACTGGGCTGCACTGGTCAGTGCAGAATTTACACCCATTTTATAGTGACTGTAAGAAAAGTTTTTGCTTCTTTTCTTTCCTTTTTCTATATTTTTGGAAACCTGCAAATCATATTTGTCAGAAGACTAACTGAGAGGTATATTTTAAATGAATATCTATATTAATATGAGCATACTAATAATTTAAATATTAATGTAGAAATAATTTGTATATTAATCCTTTACTGAATGTATTTTATTAATCTAAACAGATACTCAAAAGCTATTTTGTAATAACAATAGCAAATTGCAATATTTATATTTTCAGCAAATTCTTATACTAGTATTTCAAAAGCTCATAGTTACAGAAAAATTCTGTTCTATATTTTAAGGAATTTTATATAGTTTCTCAAAATAAATTTAATAATGACTACTGTAAAAAGTGGTATAAAGTAATGGGTCAGATAATTTTATGTTGTTACTTCTCCATGGAGAAGTCCTTGAGAGGAAACATAAGGGTTCAATCCCTTCTTCCCTCTTCCAAATGTTTATTTCTTCTAATTATATGATTAATTAATTCTAATTACCTTAATGCTTCCATACAAAGAAAAATCTTTAGCAATTGCAGAGAGCAAATACAGTATATTTAAATTTATTTAGTTAACAGTTCCACCTTATTATATGCTCAAATAACTAACAAAGTGACAATTTAATATTTAATTTTACAAAAAGTCTTTACGACTTATGAAAAAGGAGGCATAATATTTTCTAGGTTTCTATATCTATTGCTTCTTTAAATAAATTTGGAAACAACCACTGTATTGAGTTTTATAAAGATATCCATTACTTAAATAATAAAATGTGTTAAAAATTGGTTAGTATAAATAATATACTCAAAACATTATTGGCTTGAAAATCTTCAAATAATTTTTATAAGGTGTTTGTGTGGAACTTGTTATCACAACAAAGGAAGAGTTACAAGATAAAACAACCTTAAATGATAATTGTTCCTTGATGTATCATTTATCTACATAAGTAACTTATAATACTTATTAAATAAAGTTTCTGAAAATTCTGCTTTTGACAAAATAGATTTGAAAAGTAGTTACTCATATTGCTTTGGTTTCTTGGAAGTGCATACACATTGTCGACATGCTCTTCTATGTCACGTGGTAAAACAGTGATGGGTAGAAATGGAACATTCCCTGTGGGTTATCCTGTTCCAAAAGGTACTTTGTTTTTTTGTACAAAAGGGAAACTCTGTACATACTTATACAAACCAAGTGCTGCTGGACAACTAAGAGACTAATTCCTATTCTATAAACTCATTTTTCCATTTGTAAGAGAAAACAGATTAAACATTTTTATCAATAAGTGTTATGGTTTTATGTAATGAAAATAATCACATATTGATTGTGTTATCCACAATCATTGATAATAATAAAAATATATGGAACTTATAATTTGCATTTATAAAGGGTCTGTTAGGTGGCTGGTACAGTGGTTAGGCTGGTACATATTAATGAACACAGCATACATTGTCATTTGTTCTCATAAACTTACTAAGAAGATGGACAGTAAACAAATAATCATACAAATACTTATAAAGTTACAAATTGTGATAAATGGCAGTAAGTCACATATTTAGACTATCAGGAGAGACAAAATGGGGGTTGACTAAAAGAAAGGATTGGGAGCACTTCTCTTAAGATTTAGCATCTAAGTCAATACCTGATAAATTATAATGCATTAGCAGATCAACAAAGGGAGAAAGGCACTCTATTAAGGAAAATGGCACAGAAAAAAGTCATGAGGTGCTTGGCATATAGTAAACATAGGGAAGAGTAGCATGATGTGAAGCAGGGGAGGTAGACAGAGATAGGACTCATTTTATCTTCAATGCAAAGGGTTTTTATTTATTCTTTCAGTCAGCAATCATAGGAAAAGTACTATAGGTCTTTCTTCAAGGAACTTACAGTATAATGGAGAACATGCCAAGTCCATAGGAAAGTACAATACTATTCAATAAGTGTCATGCAGTTATTTGCATAGTAAAGTAAAATAATAAAGGTGAAAAGAGGCTAGCATATGATTTCTAAGCCAATCTTAAATGACCAGAATCGAATAATGGCAACCCAGTGAAAATAAATGACTACTCTGGATCTTGGTCATTGGACCTACCTGTGTATACTGATTTCCCAAGTGACTAGATCTTATAACTCAAAATACTATTCTTAGGTCCTATCTGACCTCTCCACTTGGAAATCTAATAGGCATCCTGAATTAAAAGTGTCAAAACCCTAACTTCTGGTCAAGATGAAGGCATAGGTAGACACGTTTCACCTCTTCTTACAACCACAGGCAAAATTATAACTGTATCTTAGAACAAATAACAATCAGAACTGTTGGAAAATCGAGCTGTGTGGAAGTCCAACAACCAAGAATTGAAAGACACCACATTCATCCAAATGGGTAGAAGGAGCAGAATCGAAGAGACAGATGGAGAGACAGAGAGATGTGGTATGGTGTGGAGAGGCAGTGGTAGTGGCGGTGGTGGTGGAACTAGCGGTCCCACAATCATGTGCGGCGGATAAAAATCAGGAGGGATACCCTGGGAGCAGTGATCCTAGCCCCAGGCCAGACTGCACAGCCTAGGATTCCAGTGCTGGGAAGACAGCTCTCCATAACTTCTGACTATAAAAATCAGTGGGGGTTCAGGAGGTGGAAGAAACTGCCAGATTTTCAGGAGAGTCTGTTTTAAGGGCCTGCATGGGCTTAGAAAAAATGCAAAGTCACCCACTCAGGATTCACCATCAGGGCAACAGTTATAAGGGTGCCAGTCTCATATGGGAAGTGAGTAAGGTAACTGGAAATGGGGCAAGTGCTGGGCAAACCTCCAGAAGCCAGGCAGCAGCACTGTCCCATCTCTGAGCCCACCCACACACACAGCCACATAGTAGTGAAGTGGGTGCCCTACCCTGGCAATTACCTAAGGTTTCACCCTACCCAATTTACGGGTGCCTTTTCTGAGACAGGGAGTCAAAACAGCTCTACCTAATACACAGAAACAAACACAGGGAGGCTGCTGAATTGAGAAGACAAAGAAATATGGCCCAAATGAAGGAACAGAACAAAACCCCAGACAAATAACTGAGTGAAACAGAGATAGCCAACCTAGCAGATGCAGAGTTGAAAACACTGGTGATCAGGGTGCTCAAAGAACTCCTTGAGTATGGCAATAACATAAGGGAAGAAATGAAGGTTACACTAAGTGAAATAAAGAAAAAGCTACAGGGAACCAACAGTGAAGAGGATGAAGCCAAGTGTCATATAAAAATTGGAACACAAAGAAGGAAAAACCATTCAGTTAGAATAGCAGGAAGAAAAAAAAAAAAAGACAATAAGCTTAGGACTCTCTGGGACAAGTTTAAACGTACCAACATCTGAATCAAAGGGGTGCCAGAAGGAGAAGAGGAAGAATAAGAAATTGAAAACTTACTTGAAAAAATAATGAAAGAAAACTATCCTAATTTGGCAAAGGAAATAGACATGCAAGACCAGGAAGCACAGAGAATCTCAAACAACTTGAACCCAAAGAGGACCAAGACACATCATAATTAAAATGCCAGAGGTTAAAGATAAAGAGACAATCTTAAAAGCAGCAAGAGAAAAGGAGACAGTTATCTACAAAGGAGTTCTCATA